CATAGAAATTGGACCTAGGGAATCAAGGAAGGGATTTGGCAATATTTACTCTTCTAGAGGAATTTTTCCTCTCGCTGAATGCAACCATCTTGAGAACGTTTAAATTAGCTAATTATGAAAGAAATAAAATAATAACAAATTATTAATCCAGTGGCCAAAAAAAAGAAAAATTAAATTGAGCGTTCCAAAAGTAAAGTGAGCGTCAGCACATACCCCCCATGAGTGTATTTATTTATAAATTACCTGCATGTGCTACTGTCCTTATATATTATAGACATTTGAAGCATTGTTATACAAAGCAGATATTTATAAAGAATTGATAAAAATAGATCTAAGTAGAAGTCCTAATGTGTTCTTCCTACACCCCAGGGGATGGTCCCATGCACCTCACACACCTCTGTGAAGCTCACACACTCCATACTTCAGAGACTACCATTCCAAATTACAAGAATTACATGATGAAGCAGGTAACCCAAACTTGCATACTGGCTCTGCTGTTTTGTTTGTGAATCTACATTGTTTCTATTACTCTGAAGAAATTAATGTGTCTTTCAGATTTAAAGTAGATAATACGCAATTAGTTCAACAACTATGTTTACAAACAGTATAAATGAGGATGAAAGGCACGATCTATAGACATGACTTATGTTCCAGGAACTCGATGGAAAAACATAAGACCAAAAAAATTGCCTTTGTAGTACTAGGTAATTGATTTTTTTTCTTTTTTTTTTTTTTATCTTTCAAAGTAGATAAAATCAACACCTTAAAAGACTTGTCTTTAACCCAGGCTTTCTTTTATTAAAGTGTACAATCGCGGATGCATGCCTAAAGGAGTAATAGTTTTTTCCTAACAAAAGAGTCTGGATTCCACAATATGTCTTTTGCCAGAGGCAACGTTCCCCAAAGCACACAGCTAACTGCATCTCCTGCTGTACCTGTAACAATTTAATTGTGTAAGTCAGCCTAGTGAAGCATCTCCAGCTCATGACTGGGAGACATGAAATTCATTGTCATTATTGTCCCTGTCATTTTGGATCATTATATCCTGCTGCAGAATTTTCCTCACTTCAGTGCATTTTTACCTCCAGGAGCCAGGGATTATAGCCGAGGTTGGGGTGGGGGCAGGACCGTGAACTACATTTACCTCAGGGGAGCCAGAGATTAAATTGGCTTTGCTCTCTCAAAAGCTGAATTCATCTATTTGTAGGCTGTGAGTTTTAGGTTAGAATAAAAATGAATATTCTAGTGAAACCTGTGCTTTAATTCCCCCTTTGAAACATGGATGTAACCAACTTTTATTTACATTAGGAAAGCCAGTGTAATTTCTTGTAGGTTGCTACTTTCACATGTGCATGAGGAATACTTATAGGTATGAAATAACAGACATCTCTTTCTGTCAATGTCTTGACTCTCAGAAAGGAAGAATTTAAAGCTATAATTTTGTTCTCCAGTTTCATTTTATAGAGACTTAATGGGGGTATTTAATGGTTTTAAATATTTAATGATTTTTAATTACATCTCATTTTCTGTGCACTGGATTGGATAACTGGAATCCAACTACAATGGCACTAGAGATCCACTCTGGGAACCAGATGATTGAAGTAAAGTTGATAGGGAAAAACAAAGTAATTCCTGAGGAAACCAGCTACCCCCAGCAGCTGGTTTACATAATCTAACAGGCTGCCAAGTCACCCAAGCACATCATGCCTTAAACACCTCCTTCTGACTTGGGAAAGTTGTCCTGGCCACCACACTCTCTTCCTGGTAATCCCCTTATCGGTAGCAATGGCCATGGCCAGGGTCCAGCTGGTAGATTTCTGCTAGGAGCTGTCAAAGGGCTAGACAGAAAACACTAGGACCTGTCTTGGTCAGAAAACCAGTGAGCTGACAGCATGTTTTCTCTAACAGAATATAAGAAGAAAATATAACTGGAGGAAAAACCTGGTACGTTACTTCCTATCCCAACTTTTATTTCATATGGATTTTACTGAGAAATCTGACATTTACTCTGTCTGCATAAAAAAGATGGTAGTTATTCCTCCATATGTGTGAGGGTTTTTTTCAGCAGCTAACAATAAAATATGGCAATGGATCATACTTATGCCATGCACAGAATAGCCACTATAATTCCTACATTAAAAAAAGTATGTGAATTTATTTTATTACCTTTATGGACTTTTGTGGAGGAATAGATTTTGCCTTAATCATATGCAATATACATCAGAATTTATTTAGGATGAACTGTGCTTATAAGTAATTTTACGTTTGAATATTTTGTACTTCAGAGGGAATGAATATCTTACAACCCTAACATCTCTGTGTTGAAGGGACCTTAAAAGTTATCTCAACCCTTTTCCAAGTTAATGGCAATGTTTACTAATCTGTCCCACTATATTTTCACACCATTGTTTCACTTTTCGCTGGTGCTGAAATAACTGCATAACACTTTACTAGTAAAAGTTTTCAGTTAGTAAACTTCTTGTAGCAGTTAAAAGTTCATTCAATTACTTATGCCACTTTTTCATTCGAATCAAGATTTTCTGTAGATGAGAGCTATAAAAATTGTTATGTATGGTCACTTTAAAATGGCATTCCTTCCTTTTTCTAAGCATGCATTTACTGCATTTCATTTCTTTACCTACATTCTCCTCTCCACCTTATTTCCATGTTGATATTTAATTTGCTCATTACACCGTATTAGGTAAAACAGGAGTTGCCCTATCTGTGAATACAGAAGTAAAACCATAGAACTACACTGTTTCACATTCTTATTTTGCCTAACCTCAAGTATGACATAGATGGTCCTATATCATTTCAAAACAAGGTCAAAAAACAAATTATTTACTTTAAATGACTAGAATATAATTATTTTTACTCCTTTGGTTCAAGACTTAAGACTTTACAACCAATTTCCACACACTGATTTGAAATTATTACAAATAATAATTTTTAAATATTTCATTAATCTTTACTAAACTCATAATTTTGCAACCTATAACAAGCTATAAAGATCAATCCTAGATTAAAGAAATTCTTTTTCCTTTTGATCCTAATAGAATAATGTTTCTTCTGCATTGCATAACATATGTTTCCCTTGGTTTCTCCATATAGAGTCAATAAGAATCTATAGTTAATAACAATACCAAACCAACATAAGACAGGATATCGCAAATTCAGGTATGATATCCACTGATTCCTATTAAGGATATTCAGATACATAAAGCTAATACATAAAATTAGTTAGTGCCTAATACATCACACGATCCTAATAGAATAATGTTTCTTCTGCATTGCATAACATATGTTTCCCTTGGTTTCTCCATGTAGAGTCAATAAGAATCTATAGTTAATAACAATACCAAACCAACATAAGACAGGATATCGCAAATTCAGATATGATATCCACTGATTCCTATTAAGGATATTCAGATACATAAAGCTAATACATAAAATTAGTTAGTGCCTAATACATCACACGGTATAGAAAATGAACAAGTATTTGAGAGGTTTTGTACAGGAGGGATTAGTACTAAGAGGCAAAGGGCACAAACATTTCCATGTCAGGATGGGCAGGATGTTATTTACAGAATGCCTTCTTATTCTTCCTGGACCAAAAAAGAAACGTCTTTACTATAATCACTCAATAAACTACAATGGATTAACATTAAGGGTCTGATGCAGAGAAAGCAAATTCACAGTTAAGATTGTCCTTTAACATGTAGGCTCATTCAAGGGCACCAAAAAAGTAGTTAAGTGGCCCCCCCTGTGGTGTTCAGATGCTAGAAGGCACTACAAACCGTGAATTTTCTAGCTTTTAATGTTTGTCTAAGGCCCTTAACATTTTTCTAATATTGTTGCTCCTAGGAGATTTTCTTGAGTTTGGTTCTCATTGCCCCTTCTTCACATACACATTTTGCATTTATATACGAAAGCCTGACAGCTGAATTGATTGAGAAACTTAACACTGGAAAGAAGAAAAAAAGAAGGGGTAGCTTTGACAACATTCCATAATATGAAGTATAAATATCTAAGTTTCCTGAAAAAAACAAAACAAAACAATAACAACTAAAAAAACCCAAAACAACAAAAATATTTCTTCACTGACATATAGAGCCTAAGCTGTCTTTTGTGTCATAAAATTTCTAAGACTTTTTGAACACATACAACTATCTGTGTCCAGCTATTTCCTTGTAAATGGACATCATTGGACTATATTCCAATCCCACACACACTTTAAAACTACTAGTAAAATTTCACAAATGGCTTTGCCTGTTTAGTTTTGTATTGTTTTATGGTCTGTCTGGAGATATATTAAGTGTTTAGCTCATTCAAATAAAAGTGTACAAAATTATATTGTACACATGCAAAAAAAGAATAAACATTGAACATATGGCAAATGGACACCAGGTAATGTCACTGCTAGAAAAGATCTAACGACAATAAAAATAAGCAATAAAAACTGAGGGTTTGTTTTAACAGATGCAATGTTCACCTACCTTCATCACATAAATTATATGTTCAAGAATTGTGTCCTGTGCAAAATACAAACATGTCAATTTCAGCCCAAGGGGCATTTTTCTCTAGGTTTATAACCCCTTGAAAACAGAGGTTTCATCTAGAAAACCTAACAGATCTCAGCTGCTTCCAACACTATAATATATTCACAAGGCAAGTATTCACTGGCAAAAACATAACAAATTAAATGGCATTAGGGTAGGCACCAAATTTGCAATGATGAGAAATGGACCAAACCAACCATGAGACACAAAGTAGAAATCAAGGGAGAAAAGGAATATGTAAAACAAGCAATATTAAAAGCAAAACATGATGGGGACTTTTTCAGCCAATATTAGAGAAAATGGTGGGGGGGTATGCATATGCATTTGCGCTTCCTGTAAGATTAGCATTAAAAGTAAGGATGCAAAACTGTCTCATTAAGAGTATACAATAATGATCATGAGTGAAAGAAAAGTATCTTGTAAAAAGAAAAAATCACATACCATCATAGTAGACAATTGCTCCTACCAGTTTGTCCTTCTGGAGCATTGGGAAATGCTCAAGGGCTCTTGATTTGCTGAGGACATAACTGCTTTTCAGGCAATTACTTCCTGCAACCAGATCATACAGCTTGATTCCTACCCAGTAGTAAGGTAATTGCCACCACCTACAGCATAAATAGGGGGAAAGTTTTCTTTAGAAACAGTGTATAACATTATAGAATGTCACCTTATATTACACAATACTTTTCATCTAAGAAAAACAAAGCACATCCAGAAGTGGACTGCAAAAGAAACAGGAAACCTGCATAACTGTTTCTGACACCAACACAGCTAAAGTACAAAATGAATCAGCAAGATTTTAAATGAATCTTCTCTAAGGCAGTGATTCTCCACCTAACTGCATATTAGAATTCTCTGAGGAACATTAAAAATAAATACTGATTCCTGGGCCTCTCACATGTCCAGAGATTGATTTAACTAGACTAGGGTGGGGGTCTGGGTGACTGTAATGTGCACGTAGGGCCAGAATCACTGGTTTAAGGAGTCCTAAGCAATCTATGACAAAAGATGGACAAAATTATAAAATCTGTTTCTAGGCCATCATAACACTCATGTGGCTAAGAGTTATATACATAATACACTTTTTCATATAAACTGTTTTCCAACTTGGACACTTAAAATGACCCAAAATGGTTTGAGTTTCGAGCCAGTACATGGTAGATTCAGATTTTGCAGCCAGATGCTTTTCAGCTCTGCATTTTACACTCTGCAAATGATCCTCTTATGTTCCTCAGTGCAAATGCAGTTGTTCATCTCTATACTCTCAGAAACTGAAGTAAGACACTACTAATTATAAATATAGAACGTGACCTCCTTTGCCTTCAACATTTGGTCCTTACAGATGCGTCAGTAGAGAGTAACTTAGGAAAAGTCTCACTTTAAAATACAACAAAGGAAAAATATTTGAAAAAGATTAAAGATTAGGACCAATTAAAATCACATTAAGAAATACACATTGAGGGATTATTTCCATTAAAACTATTGTTCTATTGACCTCAGACAAGCAAATAGTAAGCAGGTGACACCAAAAGGCTTACTTGTAAACTGGAAGCATTATAGGCAATGGAGCTGATAAATGAGGAGCAATTTCTAGTAGGTTGGCACGCTCATGAAGGGCTTCTTTTACCATTCTATACTGAAAAGCAAAACAGAGGAAATTAGTTTGGCAGTAACAGATCATAATATTTTCAAATGGCAAATAGACACCCTGCCAACTGATTGATACACAGAAACCTTCTACCTCTGAGCGAGGATAGCTCCCCCCTAATCAAATTTCTAATAATACATCATGCTGTCAACCTCAAAGATTTTTTAGAAACCTTAACTGTATTTGCATAGGAGAAAAACATGCTGTCAGAGTTCCCAGGTGTAAGATATTTTCCTGACTTGAGTTACAAGATTATTGTAACCATTTATCTTGCATTCTCTGTATTGTCCCCCTTCCTCAGCTCCCCATAATATTTTCTCCGTGTAAGAGATAATAGATTGTTCAAATTCATGCTAAAAGTTTCCTTCCTGCCTTCACTAAACCAAGCAAATACTTAACAGTTGCACAGTATTTTACAGATTATAAAATGGCTTTTGTCTTAACTCCTGCAGTCCTCTTATGCCTCTCTAAAGAGCCAGCATTAATATTTTAATCCTAATTTCACAAATGAGAAAACTGAGGCTCATGGATGTTGAGTAAATAAGCCAGAACACAATACAAGTAAGTCGATTCTAAATCCTATGCTGTTTTCTGTGCATCCATCATGAATGATGCTGAAGAGAAACATAAGAAAAGGGGACAGATTAAAAAATGGCTTGTCAAGAAAAAAAAGGGGATAGATTCAAAATTTGACAATGTCAAGTCAGTGCTGCTGCGCTTTTCATGTACGAAAAGCAGATAGGGAGTTCAGCTGATTTTTTTTACCCCTCTGGGAAATGTCATCTTCCACACTGCCTTGGCAGTTTTCAAATGGTGGCAGACTGGACACAATAAAGTGTGACATAAGAAAAGCATGACTCAGATCATCTTTTCCTGAAGAATATGTCAGGAACAATATGAGTGTGTGATTGCAGTTGCAGTTAAGAGGATCAAACTGGCACTCCCCCTGCATTACAACACAGCTCCCCTGAAACTGCTGGTGAAGTAGCAATTTGGTGGCCCTGGGCAAAAACCCAATAGCAATTGTTAAAAGGCAACACATCCATGTATAGCAAAAGGCTCTGATTACCCATCAACATAATACTACAGGAAGGAACTGACACACCTCTCCTGGAAGATATTCCAGCAGAATACATTGAATAGGTATTTCAAACAGGAAGAAATGTTAAATGCCATTAAAAGGGAAAAAAAAAACTGATTTAATTGGGTAGAAGAAAGCATAGTCGCAATTTTTGTTTAACAACCAGCATACACAATTACCTGCTCAATATCCAACTTCATGATGGCCTTCTGAAGATATCTCACACCACCATGGATCAATTTAGTGCTTCTGCTGCTGGTCCCTGATGAGAAATCATCTCTTTCTACGAGGGCTGTTTTTAGTCCTGTGTAACCAGAAAACCAAATTAACTTCTTAAATTACACAATTTGTATGTAATTCATTAAAGGCACTTCTCCAGGGTAGAGACAATCACAAGAAAAATTACTCTGAACATGGATAAATTTGTATTCAAAGTGCAGTACACTGTCTATATTATAATGAAGAGATTTTAGGCTCTTCCTGGGGGAAAAGTCAAGCCAGAACCAGAGGCATATTAAACTGCGAATGAATCCCAACTAGAAAATATTACAGTGGAATTTCATGGCAGTAACATAGTCTGGTGCATTCAGAGAGTCAAAGGAGAGCCTGGCACCCATCTTTTTCCATGCTGAGCTAACTGAGTGTTGTGACAAAGCCTTCTAGAACTCATGTTCATCCCTCACTCCAAGTCTAGTCATGTTCAGCCCCTCATCACCCATCTACTCCACTGCATCTCCAATAAATCTACACTGGACCACCTATGTGCTGACTCCTATTTAGAAATGTGTTTGGGGTAGTGTTACAGTGGGTACAAAGTTGGAAAAGATATCCAAGATATCTAAACAGAGGGAGAAAGAAGAGGAGTTTACAGTCTAATTTAAAACATTCAAGCAGGGCAATATTATATAATTAAAAAGAAATACAAGACTGAACAAATGAACACAGTGCAAAGTATCCATGAGTAAAGGAGAGAAAACATTCTTAATAAGGTGAGTCCGAGCAAAGATAGGTCAGTTCTAGAAGTCACTCCTGCTCCCTTTATTTGAGAGTTGCTATAAATCTCTTAAAGATAAAACTAGTTTTGTTTTTGTTTTGTTTTCTTACAGAGACACACTTCTGCCTCCGCAGAAGTGGAGATCACCAACAGTAGTACCAGTGTCACACACTAGTTGAGAGATGAGAGCCAAAACCTCAGAAGACCCTAAGTATACATCAACACCAAGCCATGAGGAACTTGCATGGCCTGGTATACTCTTGGGGGATGAGAGAATGTTATAGAATCCAATTACAATGAGAATCTGTAACAGGAACAGTTTGGGCTCACAAAGCTCATATAGGAGAACCTGTGCATGTATTTAATTCAGAGGCATTTATTACATTTAATACCAAAGGGTCGTTTTTATAACTTTCAACGGTTTAAATATCGTACCCAAATGTCATCATAAAATCAGGGCAAGTCCCTTGACTCAAAAGGACAAAATATTTGGAAACTTGGAGAGAAAAGTAGAGAACTTTAATTCAAAGGCAAAACTGCTAATACCCTAACTAACTAGCAAAATAACATACAAATTATAGGTAGCATAGACCCAGGTCACTCTTTTTAAGCATGTATGCCAGAGAAAGATCTGTAAAATTCCCAACTATTAAAACCCTAGTAATGCTTAGTAAATTTAGTACTGAACGTATTAAAGACACAGAAAAATATACCAAGTTAGTACATCTTTTTTAACAGAATATTGAGAGCCAAAGTGCTGACGTTGGAAATAAATCAGGCATAGGCCAGGCTGTCAAATAGCTCCCAGCTAAAAGAGAGACAAGTAAACAGTGCAGCAGGTTTTAGAGGGGTCACATTTGAAAATATAGAGGACTTTCATCTTATTCCAGGTTAGGAGCTAAATTCAGGATGTAAATCTGAAACTGCATTTGCAAATTTCTTAAGGATGCACTCTCAGTGAGCTATATCACCTTTTCTTACTAAGTCCAACCCAGAGAGTTCTTCTAGCACTAAAATAGACAATTTTTTCTTCAGTTGAAGATCAGACGAGGGAGTTGACTTTCAAATGGTATTTAAGAGCTAGATTATTTAAAATATACCTCTCTTTAAGCCCTGGAATCACAGTCATGGCATCAACATGCCTGTACCATCAGAGGCAGAGAAATAAGACTGAGGACAAGCAGCCTCCAATCCAGTCCAGGGCTTCCTCATTTGGCCTGTTCACAGGTGTCCTGCAGGCTGGGGTACACAGACTTCATAAACAGTCCCCAGTGATCCCCATTTTCGAGTACATAACTCCCTGCCCTTGAGTGTGGGTTGGACCTAGCACTTCTCTTCTAATAAGCAGAAGACAGCAACAGTGCCGGCAGGTCACTTCTGTGATTAGGTCATGAAAGACTGAGAAGTACCCTCTCTCTTGCTTCTTTGGATGAAGCAAGCTGTCATGTTGTGAGTCCAGGAATTCAGGGAGGCCCTCAGACCAAAACCATGTGAGTTACTAGGAAACACCGCGGACTGCGAGAGACTCAGAGCCATAGTACCCAGCTAGGGCTCACCCAGATTCCTGACCCACTGAAACCACGTGATAGTAAATGTTGTTTAAAGTCACTACATTTGGGGGGTAGTTTATTGGTGACACAATTCCCTATGTGAAGAGTAACTGCAGCCAAGATGGGAGTTTTTAATCGTACCTGGTAATGGGGTCTTCAGGAAAGGCTGGGTCTACAGGAGTATGTGTTCAACAGGTGGAGTGGAGGAGAGGAATTATCACTGGCAAAGACCAGCTTACGGAAGAGAAGGCAAATGCTTGAAATGGCCCCGCTTTTACAGGGGCTACTTGTCACTCAGGGGCTGGAGTGCAGGGAGAGAGGGATAATGTGAAGGAGAACCACTAAGAGGAATAGGCAAGTGTCTAGCTCTTAATCCTGTTCGTGATGCCAATTGTAAAGCTAGGCGACCACGCCAGTCATCAGGCTCTTTTACCTGCTGGTAATCCTGCACGACTGGGCCGATTGTAAAGGTAGGGCTGGGTCTGGAGTTCCCAGATCCCTCAAGCCCATTTACAGACTGGGTCACAAACCCTTCACACACCAGGCTGGGCCACCAGACCCCTCACACTCCAGGCTGGGTCACCAGACCCCCCTCACACAGGTCCATGAGCTAGGCATGCGGGCCAATGTATCTTTTTAGTTTTGTTGCTATTCTTGCGTTCTACAGACAGAGAAAGAGGAGAGAGGAGAGAAGAGAGGAGAGGAGAGAGGTGTAGGAGAGAGAGAAAGAGAGAGGAGTTTCAGTGAAGCAGGCGGGTGGGTGTCAGCCTCGGGTGTCTGCTCCACACAGCCATGCTTTACAACCTATGACTCCAGGGACCTTTTGGCTGGTTGCCTAGCTCATGGACCTGCGTGAGGGGGTCTGGTGACCCAGCTTGGCGTGTAAGGGGTCTGGTGACCCAGCCTGGCGTGGGAAGGGTTTGTGACCCAGTCTGTGAATGGGCTTGAGGGGTCTGGGAGCTCCAGACCCAGCCCTAGCTTTACAATCGGCCCAGTCGGCAGGATTAGGGCAGGTAAAAGAGCCCGACTACTGGTGTGGTCGCCTAGCTTTACAGCAAGGCAGAACACAAGGACTTTTCATCCACATTGGGGCGTTTGGATCCTGCCCTGTGGTGACTGTTTCTCATCTGGATTCTCCTCAAAATGAAAATGCCTCTGAGAATATGGCTATAGGTCCTGGATCAGTGTGAGAAACAAACGCTTCATTAGAAAGAACAAGATTTGGCATCCATGACACACAAGCATGAATATGATACTTGGTTACAGGGCTTCCATTCTGAGGAAGTAGGGTGTGCTTGTTAATTTTTTATCATTATAAAAAAGGAATAAAATTTAAATTTATTTTATTTATTTATTTTTTTTGTCTTTTTCATGACCAGTAAGGGGATCGCAACCCTTGGTGTGGTGTCGCCCGCACCGCACTTAGCCAGTGAGAGCACCGGCCATTCCTATAGAGGATCCGAACCCACGGTGGGAGTGTCGCTGCGCTCCCAGCGCCACACTCTCCCGAGTGAGCCACGGGCTCGGCCCTAAAATTTAAATTTATTCCAGAAGTCCTCAGATATTGGTTTGAGAAACACTATTATGATGCCTGTCAGGGAAACCATCAAAGTGTTTTAAGCTGAGGAATTAGGTTAATGTTCTGGAAGAATTTCTAGACTGTGGGGTGGGGGTGGGAGTGGGGCTGGAAGAGAGGGGCTGGAGGCAGGAGACCATTTGGAGACCAGTGCCACACAGCATGAGTGAGGCAATGAAGAATCCAGCCTCACAAGGCAGAAGATGGTACTGGAGAGCCACACAAAGAGAGTATTCTATGGGCTGTGTTGTCAGGGTAAATTTTTTTTCTTTCCCAAACTGACACAGTGTGAGGTGGGAAACTACTCTAGGAATTAGCAAGCCATCTCAGGAGGATATTTCGGGATACTGAAGTGAAAGCTAACACCTTAAAGCTCTCAAAACTGCTTTTTCAAGTACTGGACATTTTAAAAGTTATTCACATATGTTTATGTGAGAAACCCTAGTGAATAACAACAAAATTTAAAATGGGCCTCTCTGTCAAACCAAGCTACTTTTCTTGTCCGATTATTTCCAAGGTCAAATCATCAAGCTACCCAACAGAATTTCTGGAGAGAAATGAATGATACTGCTCCCTCCAGAGCAAATACATAAAAATTTTTGTCTCCAAACTTATAGCTAAATTAATATGTTAAAGTATCATGCTAAATTAATATGTTAAAGTATCATGGAACCTAAAAATATTACTAAATGTTTTCCAAACCACAAAAAAACTCTAAAAAAAGAAAATATTTTAAATTTTTCAGCTGCTATTATATGTTAAATGTTCTGAATTCCTCATTTTTGTTGAATAAGAATGAGGAAAATAGGAAGGAGGAAAGTAAAATGAAATTAAGACATTATTATAAGTTATAACTACTGCTCATTTATACCTTAACTGATTACCAACTGCAACAAAGACAGTGAAGTTTTTTAAAAAGACTTTTAATGTTTGTGTGGTTTTGTTATCCAATCCATTTCTTTCTGTTTCACCTCTCAAAAATCCAAATTTTCCCCCCCTCAAAAATTAAGAAATTTAAGCTCTGAAATTAAGAGCTTAGTTTTCTGATACATTAAGTATAAGTCAAGGAAGTGAAAAGAGAGAGCTATTTTATCCTCTTGCAGAGAGTGAACAGTATTTCTATTCTGTGGTCTTAGGTAAAATAATTAAGTTTGAAGGATGTAGAAAATGATGTACCCAGGACT